TGGCCCCAGGTTCCCTCCCTGAGCACAGAGCCAGGAGTAAGCCCTGAGCATCACCTTTGGGTGAAGCCCCACCCCCCCAAAAAAAAAACCAAATATGAACGAAGAAAGGATTTGGCTGCAGCTAGGGTCATCCTAGGCGGAGACTCGCCAGCTGGAGGGGGGGTCCCGCTTCCTGCTTCCATCTCTGGGGCCTAGAAAACCAGACCAAAGGCACGCAGGAGGGAGGTCGAGGAGCCAGGATGACTGAGGAGTGAGAGGAGCGCTCAGACCGGAATCTGGATTATGGCAGAGGGTTGGGTGGGAGGGGCCGGACAAACGGCATTTGCCTTGCATGCGGCCTACCCTGGCTGATCAACACGGGGTGTAGCCCCACTCCCCCCACCCCGAAAAATACCTGGGACTGACTGGGGGAGAGGGGGAGGGAGGGACTTCTGGTTGGAGGCTGCGTCTGGCCCTGCAGCCTGGTCTGCGGACTGCCTTGGGGACACAGAGCGATGGAGAGAGAGCTGGGGGCTGGGTCCTCGGTGTCGGGGGCCACACCAGTTCCTGCCGTCTCCCCTACATGTCTTCCCAGTTCGTGTGGTGTCCTGATTGGGTCCGGGTCCCTGGGTCCCAGAGGCAGCAGTGGCCGCGTGGTCAGAAAGAGTGACAAAGGCAGGACCAGGATCATCATCATCATTATCATCATCTTCTTCTTCTTCTTCTTCTTCTTCTTCTTCTTCTTCTTCTTCTTCTTCTTCTTCTTCTTCTCCTTCTCCTTCTCCTTCTCCTTCTCCTCCTTCTCCTTCTCCTTCTCCTTCACCTTCTCCTCCTCCTCCTTCTCCTCCTCCTCCTCCTCCTCCTCCTCCTCCCTTTTCCTCCTCCTCTTCCTCTTCCTCCCTTTTCCTCCTCCTCTTCCTCTTCCTCCCTTTTCCTCCTCCTCTTCCTCTTCCTCCCTTTTCCTCCTCCTCTTCCTCTTCCTCCCTTTTCCTCCTCTTCCTCCTCCTCCTCTTCCTCTTCCTCCTCCTCTTCCTCTTCCTCCTCCTCTCCTCCTCTTCCTCCTCCTCCTCCTCTTCTTCTTCTTCTTCTTTTTTCTTTTTGCTTTTTGAATCACACCCAGCGATGCTCAGGGGTTACTCCTGGCTCTGCACTCAGGAATTACTCCTGGCTGTGCTCAGGGGACCATATGGGATGCTGGGAATCGAACCCGGGTTGGCCGAGTGCAAGGTAAACGCCCTCCCTGCGGTTGCTATCGCTCCAGCCCCAGGACCAGGTTCTTCCCTGGCTGTTACCTGCCAGCCCTAGTCTCTTGGTGCCCAGGCCACCCACCCCCACCCCCCCACCCAGGACGCTGCCAAGGGGCTCAGCAGAACACATACACACCGTGGGGCTCCACGGACCCCCGATTTTGTCCCCAGTCGGTGGCAGGTGGGCTGAGGCCATGACCGCAGCTGCCTGCGAGGCTGAGGCTCTGCCTCTTTTTCCCCTTCCCTGAGCTCCAGGCCTCTGCAGGGGAGGAAGGGGAAGGGCCGTGGGCCCTCAGGGCTGGCACGTGAAACCCTGCCTTCCGGCGTGTGTGCCAGCGGGCCCCGCCTTTACCCTGCATGGCAGCTCAGGGCAGGCTGGCGAGTGCCCGGCTGTGTCCCCCTGCATATGGAAGTTGGCGGGCAGAGGGGTGTGTCTGTTCTGTCTCCAGAGCACGGTCGGCTTTCTCAGCATTTTTATTAATAATTCAGCCCCTGGCCAAGAGAGCGGGGGTTGGGGGACGGGCGGGAGTGTGTGTTTGTGTGTGCAGACAGCAGACCAGGTAGGGGCCAGGGAGAGCCGCGCCTTCTGCCGTGACCTAGCAACAGAGCCCGGAGGCCTCAGGGGCCCTGTTGAGGAGTGCAGAGGCCGCGGAGGGACCGAAGCATCCCTCCTGCTTTCGGCGGCCGGCCCAGGGCACCAGATCGGAAACAGGCCTGAGGGGTCCGCGGCAGGCCACGCACGGGCGGTCCACGGGGAACTGGGTGCTGCCAGCAGTTCCTGCTACCTCATGGAACCTGCCACCTCATGGAACCTGGGACACGAACCTGCCACGTCATGGAAAACCACGCATGCGCACGCACACGCACACGCACACACGGGGCACACATGCGCACTTACGCACACATGTACATACACGGGGCATACACGTGCACGCGCACACACACGTGCACACACACACATACACACACGGCACACACACACATACACACACACGGCACACACACCCCGCACTGGTCTTTCTCCGAGGACACACCTGCTCCCACAGATTTCAGCTGCCCGCCGGGCCCTGCTGGCCAGTGGGAGACGGGAACCGGGTGTGGCCAAGATTTCTCTGAGTGGCCAGCAGGATGGTTCCTGGCGAGACGTTTGTGAGAACCGGGGAGCTTGTGTCCTCTCTGCTGAGCACAAACAAAGACCCGCAGAGGCACCCAGGGCCCATCAAGACTAAGTTCTAAGCTCCCAGCACCATCTTCAACGCTCCCACCCTCTCCCCTCATTAAACCTTTATAACCCAAGGAATCAGCTGTGATCAGTTCCTGCCGGGGACGGAACTGCACCCCGACAAAGTGACGGAGGCCCGAAGGGAACCTCAAAGCTTTTTGGGGGGAATCCAAGATGCAGCAAGAAATGGTGAGGAGTAGGCGAGAGGGGAAGTTGGCAGTGCTGGGGGCCTCCTCCTGGTTCTGGGCTCACCCCTGGCAGTTGATGGGGACCATGCATGGTGCTGGGGGTACCAGCCGGCCGGTGTGGGGTGTCAGGGCAGTGCCTTCAGCCAGGCCCCCTCTCTCTGGATCACAGGTGAGGAAACATCGGGAACCACTTGGGAATCCTGATGCCACGAGGCTCTCAGTTTCCAAACTTTATCCCCGGGGTTTCAGCTAGGGTGTCTGAGGGACTATGGGGCTCAGGAACAGGGGATTCTCCCTGGTTGCCCTCGCTTAGATCACCGGGTCACTGTCCTCTGCTCTGGAGGCCTGACCTCCACCATCTGTCACCTGGTCCCCACCCAGAGTCCTCCACTCTGAAACGCACCTACACAGACCTGCTGAGTTGAGGAGATGAGCCCTAGTCGGGCCCCTCTGTCCTCTCAGGGGCCGGGTAGGGAGGTTGCTGACCTGGGACCCTTTCCAGGGGGGCCCATGGATGGGATGATAGGGACTGGGGGGGCCCCGGGGAGGGACACCATGATGGGTAGGACAGATGGGGAGGGGTACATTGTTGGCTTTTTCCCAGGCCCAGGAGAGAGGTAGCTGGGGAAGAAATGGGAACAGCTGGGTCTGGAGACCCCGGGGCTCCTAGCCTGCTGGCTTGGTTTTGGGGGGAGGCTGCTGAAAGGGGGTGATGGGTCATGCCTGGGCCTCAGCTGTGTGGCGGTGAGGATGGCTGCCGGGCAGGGAACGGGACCAAGACCGGAGATGCGAGCGACTGAGTTCCCCACCCGCCGAGGAACCGGCGCAGAAACTACAGCTGCTCCTTCCCCTTCCATTTTTAATTAGAACATTCAATCCAAGGAAATCTGTTCTTCCCAGAACAGCATTCACGGAGCTTTGCTTAGGGGAATTTCTTTATCTGTTTCTCCACCGGAAAGGCTGTGGGTGGAGGTGTGTGTGTGTGAGTGTGTGTGTGTGTGTGTAAAAGAGGCTTCGTGTCAGTTCAAGGGGACGTGGGGTGTGTGTGTGTGTTTCGTGTGTGCGTGTGGATGTATGTGCGTGTGCATGTGTGTGTGTGCTGGGGACACACCTGAGACAGAGATTTGTCCCTGTGGGCGCTGGCCCTATGACAAGGTAGACGGGTGGCGGCCACCAACTGCGCTGTATAAAGTCAGGTGAGTGGGTTTTCGGGTGCGTCCTTAGCTCTGGGACCCCACCACAATGGGCAGGGTGCTGGCAGTGGGGGGTGCAGAAAGGGGTGAATGTGTATGTGTGTTTTGGGGGGGGCTGGTCTTGCCTCCTGCCTTACCCACTTAGTACAAGACAAGGGCAGGGCAGGTGGGGGCTGTGGAGTGCGTTTGAGCCTGTGGGTGTGTTGGTGAGATGCAGCTGGGTAGGTCTGTGTGTGTGTGTGTGTGTGTGTGTGTGTGTGTGTGTGTGTCTGTCTGTCTGTCTGTCTGTGAGGAAGAAAGGACCCCAGAAGCAAACTGGGCAGAGAAGGGACTCTGGCCAGCTCCCCCCCCCCCCCACCAGATCTGGACCAGGCAGAGCTCCGAGAGGACCCTCCACGCGACTGGGACGGAGGGTGCGCCCAGGAGGCTCTCCATCCAAGCCCCCTAAGCGCAGACACCGGAAAAGGGGCGGGCGCAGCGGGGCCGGCGCCGACGCCCAGCGCTTTTCTGCGCTTTCCTGGGGGTGGGAGGGAGCGTGGTGGGGGGGGAGGGAGCGTGGTGGGGCCCGTCCCCCGGGCGCGGGTGGAGCTCGCGCCGGGCTCCGCGCGCGCGGCTCGCCGCCGAATCCGCTCCTGGCTTTCGCGCGCACCGGCCCGTCCCCCGCCCTCCCACCCCACTCTCCTCCCCGCCCCTCCGCCTGGTGCCCCGCGCAGCCCAGCTGAGCCCCGAACCGACGCCCCGGAGCGCCCCCGCGGCGCGCAAAAAAACCCGGAGCGGCGCGGGCGCGGGCGCGGGGCGGAGGGCCCCCCGGAGGAGGCGGCGGCCGGCGGGGCGTCCCGGGCCGGGGCGGCGCGCAGTGCGGCGGGGCCCCGCGGGGCGGCTCCGGGCTGCAGGGCGGCGCGCGGCCGGCAGCGGGCAGCAGCGCGGCGGGCACGGGCGCGGGCGCGGGTGGGGACGCGGGCGGGGGCCGCGGCGGCAGCGGGCGGTGCCGGCGGAGCCCCGGGCGCGCTCCCACACGCGCTCACACACGCACACACGCGGCCTCGTACACACACACGCACGCACGCGCACACACACACACACACACACAGAGGCGCACACACACGCGCGCGCGCGCGCACACACACGCGCGCACATACACACGCGCGCACACACTCGCGCGCGCGCGCGCACACATACACGGGCCGCGCAGGCCGGAGGGAGGCGGCTCGGCGCTGGCGGGCGGCCCCCGCTCCCCGCAGCCCGGCTCGGTGCCCTCGGACCCGCCCCCGGGGGTCGCCCGGCCCCATGCCCTGCAGCGGCGGCGGAGCGGCGCGCCGCGGGCGGCTCTGAGCAGCCCGGAGCCGGCCGGCGACCAGGGGGACCATGTACCGGGACCCGGAGGCGGCCAGCCCAGGTAAGCGCGGCCCCGCGCCGGGGGGCTGCAGCGCGTGCCCCCCGCCCGCCCGCCCGCCCAGGGCCATCCTCTCCCCCTCCCGGAGCGGCCGCGGCTCGGACCCGGCGCTGGCTTCGCTGTGTCCCCTCCGGGGCCTCCCCCCCTCCACCCCCCACACACACACCCCGCCATCCCCCGGCAGCCCAAGGACAACGTGTGTGGCGGAGCGCGGAGCCGTGGGGCCCCCCGCGGGAGCGGGGCAGTGCCCCGAGGGGCGCCCCCCGGGGCCCGCAGCACCAGTGTTCCCCGGGCTCCGGCGCTGGGGGGGACCCCTAGGACCAGAGCACGGGCAGCTGCGGGGCCAAGGTTGTGGGCACCCGCGGAGCGGAGTGGCATTGGCGGTGCCAACTGTGAATTCAGAGGGTGCCAGGGCGCAAGTGGGAATCCGGGGCGGCGGGGCGCGGCCGGGGGGCGCCGCAGGAGCTGGGTGGGGGGATGGAAGCAGGGGTCCCTGAAGGGAAAGGGGGCAGGGATGGGGGGGGGACCAGAGGAGTGCCAGGGGGACCTTCTCCAGGCTTGGGGAGGGGGGATGCGTAGAGCCCCAAACTCAGTCCAGCGCCCTCGTCGGGGCGGCGGGGAGGGGTCGCGCGCTCCCAGCGGCGATGCCCCCTGCACCCCCTCCTGGGAGTGGCCCGCGCCTGGGCAGCTCAGCTGGGTCCTGGCGGCCAAGCCTCCAAGTGTTTCCTTCTTCCTGGGGAAATGGCTCTGCCATCTATCTCCTCCCCGGCGCCGCCGCCTCCCCACGCAGTGCCCACCTGTAGGCTGGTCCCCTGCAGTTGCCGCTGGGGCTGTCACCGCTCCCACCCGGGACCCCCACCCCCCACCCATCGACTCTGCCAGTTCTGGCTTGGGGGGGGTGTCCCCACTTGGAGCTCTCTCTCTCTCTGCTCCCCGAAAGCACCTCATCCCCTGGGAAGCCGAGGTCCCTTCCTGGGGCTGGGGGGACACTTAAGACCCCCAAGAAGTAGTCAACTCTTTCCTTGCAGTGCTGGGGAGACCCTGGGCACAACCTCCTCCCAGCTGTTGGGCTTAAGGGCAAAAGAGATTGTCTTGTCCTGGAGCCTTGCGACCATCCATGGCCCTGCGGGGAATGATGGCTGCTTTGTGGGGGGCCCCTTCACCTCCGACCCTGACTCTGCCCGCTCCCAGCCCTCGGACCCGCTCCTCCTCCCAGCTGTCACTCGCTGAACCCACAACCCATTTCTGGGGGACCATGAGCCCCCCTCTGGTTGGGCACCCTCCCCCGCCAGTCAGACCGGTGGCCCCGGCGGGCTGTGTCCTGCCCACAGCCTGGCCCCTGACTCTCCCCCTACCCCCCATACCCCCCCCCACACCTCACCCCTCTCCCCAGGTGCCAGCTCAACCCGCAGGGCGCAGGGCCAGGGAGCGGCACCCCTAGACCATTCCTTGCCTTCTGGTTTGGGGAGCAATTCTGACACACTGCAGGGTCAGCAGTGCCCGAAGCAGGCACCCCTCAAACTCCCGGCCGGGCTGCCAGGAAACTTCTCCCTGAGTGGGCGGGGGGGGGGGGGTTGGGGGGGGCTGGGTCAGCAACCCGCCACAGGGCGGAGTCTTGCTGAGACCCTGCACCCCTGGGGCTTCTGAGGGGCTCGAGATGCCCCCTCCTGTTAGCCATGATGTGGCCAGCAAGGGAACCAGCTCTCTCCTCCTGTTCACCAAATCGCCTCCCCCTGGGTTCCTGTTTCTCTGCCCCGGCTCCCCTTGACTGGCAGCGGTGGGAGTGAGGAGCGCGGAACCCCCCGGGGTTCCCTCTGGACCCTCTGGTGGGAACACCTGTGGCCTCATCCTTGGTGGCGACCAGTGTCGTCGACTCCCGTCCTCGCCCAGTCCTGTGCCCCCGGGCTGGTTCCCTAGGGCCCCTGGAGCGCCCCCTGCCTGCTGGTTCCCTTGCTGGTCACATCATTGCTTCGACACTGGCCCTCCCCTCCTCCCCTGGCTGTCCTCTCCCTGGTCCTTGTCAGTCAGGGGCAGTGGGGGACAGGCCAGCCCCTTCCCACACTAGCCCATGAGCTTTTGCTCCAAAGTCTCCCCAGCACCCCTCCCCCTGCCCGGCCTGTAGTGACCCCAACTCCTGCCCTGCAGGCTGGGCTAGACAGGGCACCCCCCCACCCCCAGACACCCAGCCTTCAGCCGGGCCTCGGCCCTGGTTGTGGCCCGGCCTCCTGGTGTCCCACAAGTCCATGCCCGGGCGGGCAGGGCCTCGGCAGGCCTGCAGGGGTCAGCGTTGCAGTGGGCAGGCGGCGGCGGCAGGCAGGCAGCTGGGAGGGAGAGGTGACCTTGTGAGGAGCGCCGGGCTAGGCCGGACTCCAGAGTCCCCGGGCAGCGACTCTGGGGGAGCTTGGGACCCTCCATCCTCCTCTCGGCTCCGACCCTGTCCCCCCCACCTCCGGGGGCAGCACGGACAGCCTCCGGGTCTGCATCTCCTGTCAGGGGGCTGTCCTAGGGGTGCCGTCCTGGGGAGCATCCCTGAGGACAGTGTCCAGGAAGGGGGTCTTGCCTCACGGGGCCCCAGGAGACCTGAGCAAGATACCTCCGGCGGGGCCCATGTTCCGTGCAGAGGCCCTGGGGCCATCTGTGGTACAGGAATTGGGGGGTACCGTGGAGTGAACAGACAAGGGGGGCTAAGAGGCTAAGAGGGGCTTAGGAGTCAGGATGGAGCTGGGGGGGGGGTGTCTCACGGGGACCATTTCATCCACAGCTTCGCCTGCCCTGGCCGGCAGCCTGGGCTTGGGTGGGGTCTAGACAGAGCACCTGGTCCAGGAGGGGCTGAGCCCGTGATGGGGGCGCTGGCCAGCGCCTCCCTACTACCACCCACCACCACCAGAGATGTGTTACCCGGGAGGCAGGACCCCCGTGCCGTGAGATGGCCCTGAGGGGCCTGGCTGACACACAGCCTTGCCGCCGCACGTCTGGGGCTGGAGAGACCGGGGCCAGGCTGGCACCGTCACGCCAGCAGGTGAGCTGGGAGGGACAGTGAACAGGTGGGGGTCAGGTGAGCACAGACAGATCCCCCCGGACTTCTTCCAGGAGGCACTGAGCACCCCCAGGGGCCCCTCTAGGCTGTTCTGGCTCCCTAATTCCCACCCCCCACCGCAGTCCTGGAGATCTGGAGGAAAATGGGGTTGAGCTGGGGGAGGGGAGAGTGGTGGGAGTTTCCCCTCCTCCCCCCACCCCTGCTCTCCTGGGGACTCCGAATCCTTATTGAATCCGATGGACCATTTTCAATAATGGCTTACCCAGGGAACTGAGGTCCGGAAGAGCCGGGAAAGGGAGTGTGGGCGGGGGGGACAGTCAGAGGACCAGCTCAGGCTGCAAGAGGCACCTCCTGGCCGAGCAGACCTCGTCAGAGGCACCGAGTCACTCCAGGTGGGCCGGAGCCAAGTGCCCGGCTGCGGGGGCAGTGGCCAGCAGCCGACACATGTGGCTGTGGCCGGGTCATCCCTGTCTGCTGGGACGGTCACTAGTCTGGCTCGGTGCCCAAGCCAAGCTCATGCCAGCCTCGGCCCCAGTGCCCGTTGGCCTTGCCAGGGAAGCCCAGCCAGTGGTGCCAGGGGGACGATGCCAGGTCCATCATAGGCACGGGTGTCCCTGACCCTCCGGGCGACCGGTCAGCCCAGCTGAGGCCCCATCCAGCTCGCGTCCGCTGGGCCAGAGCCTCTCACCCAGCAGAATTCCCCAAGGCTGGCGGCGGAGTTGGCAGCCGGCTTGGGACCTGTGGATGGGCTGGATGGAGCCCAGAGGTGTGCGCCCGGGTGTCTGGGCGGTGGGCTGGCACCCGGGGTCCGGGGTCGGCCAGCTCGTGCTCTCCCACTCCCTCCCGGGAGGAGCTGGGCATTCGGGAGGGGCTGGGGCTGGTGCCAACTTAGCTCGTGGGGGGCGTGGAGGACTGATAACATCTGCACGTTCGAATGTGTGTATCTGTGTGTGTGTGTGTGTGTGTGTGGCAAGGGGGATGGCAGCGGGGCCCCCCATGGGCTGGGAGGTTTGTGTGCCGGCTGTCCAGTTCTGTGCATGCGCCGGGCAGCTGGCCGGCCAGTCTCACTGAGCGCGCGGGGCCCCAGTAAACAGCGGCTAATGAGTATGTTTGTAGTGAGACGCCTCGAGGTGCCCCGGGAGCCACCGCGGCTGCCTGGGGGAGGGGCGGTCCCCGCGTCGCGCCCTCCCCAGGGGGGGGGCCCTGCCTGGCCCTGCCACACCCTCCCACCTGCCCGTGGCCGCCTCCCTGCGCCCGCCGTGGTGCTGATGCTGTCTCAGCGCGTGGGGGCGGCGCCGTGGGGGCTGGTTTGGCGCGAGTGTGCGTGTGCGTGCGTGTGTGTGTGTGTGTGTGTGTGTGTGTGTCTTGCGGGGCCCCTGCCCTCCCTCAGATCCCTGAGAGGGTGCCTCCTCCCCCCCACCCCACCCCCCGACACCTGCCTCCCGGGCCTGTCTCTGTTCTTTTTGGCTGCCGGAGCTTCTGGCGTTGGGGGGCCCTGCGAGTGGGGTGGTCCCTCTGCCCGGCACGGGAAGGACAGGTCTGTGCTCCAGTCCCGAGGGCTCCCCCCCCGTGAGACAAGGGGGAGAGGAGGCCAGGGGTCTCTGCGAAGACGGGGGCCGCCGAGGGGTGGCACTGGCGGGGGCGCGGGGGGCGCGCAGGGGGCGCGGGGTGGGGGACGCGGGAGTCCGGCCGAGGCCAGGGGCCGTGCTGGCCAGCGTTGCCGAGGAGAGAGCTGTGTGGCTAATGTGTCCAATTAAATTACTTCAGCCCGGCCGCAGCGGCAGCTCCCGGCGGGGCCCTGGGTACAAATTGGATCCGTCTCATTACCACAGGGTGGTGGCAGCGGGGGCCAGGGAGCGGGTGGCCAGCCCCGCCCACGGCCCCCCCACTGACCTCTCCCGCCCAGGCCCGCCCCGGGGGCCCCACTGCCCCCTCGCCCCGGGGGGGGGGGCTCCTCCCTCCCACC